GATTTATCTTGAATAGACAAATCGAATGGTATATATTATTTTTGTTCAAATTGGATCACTGGATGTCAAGATATTATCGTTTTCTTTTGGCGATCGATTTCTAATGAAAAATTGATTGACAAATATGAATCTGCCACTTTAGGATGTAATATCTCGACATCCAGTGATCCAATTTGTGCGAAAATATCACCATTTGATTTGGCTAGATTAAATAAATCGAATGGTAGTATTTTCGCTCAAATTAGATCATTAGATGTTGAGATATTATGTCCTAAAGTGACCGATTTATTGTATTTGTGCATGAAAGTTTATGAACATACAATACCCGATATAGAAAGCTCTATTTATAAAAAGTATCAATGATCAGCATTTGTAATGTTCTTTGTACTCAGTAGGTTATTTCTGACCAGCATATCGGTATGAAAAAACGCAAGCAAAATATTTATTAATGTCAATACTACTACCAAAATTTATTTAAATTAAAATCTAACAAAGAGTACTGTACATGGGTTGTTTTTAAGAAATTTACACAATTAGAATTATTCATAATTGTCCATATGAAAAACCGAAACCAACTACATGTATTAAAATCCAGAAACAATTTAATCGACTAAACAATTTAATAGAACCAGAAATATGAGCAATAGTACCATCAGTTCCATTATTATCACCACCTCTCTTTTTCGGATCTCCAACTGGCACAATACCACATCGCTGCGTCAAATTTCCTTGCACTGCGCTCAAGCTTTCCTTATAAGCCAATGATAATAATGAAGTACTATTGTTTTGACTTAGTGATATTTTGTTTGGATAATTTATCCAGATATCTGCTATTGTTGTGTAGGATTCCGAACACATTATAACGTCTGGTAGTGTGCGTGTAGTGTGTGGCGGACTGAATCCTGGTTGTGGTTTTACACTTGGATCGAATGTGTTGAATCTTGCGTTTGGTGGTGAGAAATCGATAAATGCTGCTATCTCGTTGGAGAGTGCAAGCGTACTAGTGAAGTTTGCTAATTGTTTTCGGACATCAATTATCCCATAACCTGTACATTGAAATTAAACGCATGTCAATATCGATATACGTATACAGAAAATAAAGATCACTCAAAAAGTAATTTACCTTCATTGCTTTTTGAGCAATAAGCCTCTCGTTCCGGCAGTGCAGTATACAAATACTCGATAAACTTAAATACATCGTAATCTTCACTCCCATCATCCACTTGACTCAACACATCAGACTTTGATTTATTTTTCAGCTCGACTTGACAATCATTTTGCACAATCTCAAAAAAGGTTCTCGTCAAATTCAGATCACATTCACCTTCTCTTTTGATACACAACAGATTCAGGTCTTTCTCAAACTTAACTAAATCCGAACGGACATCTACAATGGTTTTTGAAATGAAACAGGAACGTAAATTGTTTTTTAGTAGGTTTCTGTACAATGATTCTTGACAAGTTGTGCAATTGTTGATGTTGATTGCTGTTTCGCAGGTGTTATTGTTTTTGTTGGATAGCAGAGATGTAAGAGTTGGTTTTGTTAAGCTTTTTGTTGTTGTTGTTGTTGTTGGTAAAGAAGTTGATATTGTCGCATTAGGTATTCCTATACTATTATCACTTAATAATCCAAACACAAAAAATACAATAGTCAAATAATGACGAAATGATACAAATTTTTCCATTTTTTATGATCTTACTTTCTTCTCTAATATATACAAAAGCTATGTCAAATTTTCCTTCTATTTATTAAAAACAAACGATAACGATAACGATAGGTCATCTCTATATTTAACAATTTTCAATTTCAAATCATGAAACACAATTTAATACATGTACATACATTCCGTTTTTCCCGTCTCTATGATATTTTCCTTCTTTTTTTGTATTGTATTGTATTCTACGTACGTATTTTTGAATAAACAAGCTTTCGTGATTTGTTGATTTTAGTATCTTTGAGTGCCTAATACATCAGAATGCTGTGGTACTATGTGATACAATGCCTAAAGCAGGAAATAAAATAATGTTGATGGAAAATACTAATATGATTGGTTTTCATTTCTTTTCTTTGAACTTGCATATATTGATATCACGATTTGCTTAATTTAACGTTAACTTATTTTTTAATCAAAGTTTCCGAAATGCAAAAAGAGCGGAGAAACTAATACGTACTTGTCGTCATAACTTGCTTTTCTTTTTGAATTGTCATCAAAGAAATAATTTTAATAAATAAATTTTTTAACTACGTAATTTTTTCATCAAATCAATCCTATAATTTAAAACATAAATTTACGAAACAATCAAATAGACAACATATATAGCTAACAGCATTCCGCGCTACATTAATGGTTTACGCTCAATCATTCAATACCTTGAAAAGCTTACCCAACTGCCGCAGTGAATACTTATTTCTTCTTTCGTACGCTTTCCTATGCCACAGTAACGAAGTATGAACATCACACATTGTGCCTCTTCCAAATTGATAACACATAGCAGTATCAAATGGAATCATCGCATCACTCATTTGACACTCATCAGCAATACTCGCAGCCTGCTTAAAATAATAAAGAGCCTTCCGATAATCCTGTTCGACTCCCTCGCCTTTAGCATATAACATACCAACACTATTCTTTCCAAACGCATTCCCGGCATCGCTAGCGACTTTATACCACGCAAACGCCGCACGCAAGTCACGTTCCGTTCCGGATCCATTCAAATAACAATCTGCCAAACACACTTGTCCTTGCGTGTTTCCACAGACCGCGGATTTCTCGTACCATCGAAACGCTTCATGGCGATTTATCTCGGTCCCATAGCCAAAGAAATAACATTGTGCTAATTCTGCTTGTGCTTCGGTGTTGCCGTTGTATGCGGCACATAGGAACCAGGTGAATGCTTCCTTGTCATTTTGCGCGGTCCCGGTTCCGTAGCGATAGCAGGCTGCCAGGTTTCCTTGTGCGTGTTTATACCCATTTTCTGCGGCAATTTTGTAAAATTCGAATGCTTTCACTTTGTCAACTTTTACCCCACTTCCGTTCGAAAAGCAACATCCGATATTTTGTTGACCGACCGCGTACCCGTTTTCCGCGGATTTCATGTACCACTTGAATGCCGTTTCTGCATTTCGTTCACACCCAAACCCAAATTGATAACACCACGCTAGCTGTGTTTGCCCCACACCGTCGTTCTCCGATTCCGCGGATATCTGATAATATTGGAATGTTAAATTTTTATTGATTTCTGTGCCGAGGCCATAGTGAAACAAGAATCCTAGTAGTGATGCGTATTCTATTTCGTCTTGCTTATGACGCCAGATTTCGTGGAAAATTTGTTGTAAATCGTGATTTTCTTGGGTAGCCCAGTCTCGCACTCGGTTTACTATTAGATTGTCGTTTTCGAAAAATTCGCATCCTAGTTTCCATATTGCTAAAAGTTCGTTGATTGGTGACATTTAGGATTTTTGTGTAAAAGAGAAAGTAATTGATATACGTACTACGTACATGTATATATAGTCTCTAATCGGATGATACATGTACATAATTGTGTAACAACTTTATTATTTAATTTTAGAAATCCTTGTGCATGAATTTACCAATTAAAACTAGGAAAATTACACGAAAACCGAAAGTGCACCTCTGATCTCGTTACTAATCGGAAAACAATAAAATACTCAATATTACATCATTGGATGAGTTTAATGCTTGCTTTATTCATAATTGAAAATACATACGACAGCTTGATGAGGCAGTAGACTAGAATCGATTTACTTGAACACATGAGCCAAGTGCAATAAAAACTGTAAATTGTATTATGAATTCTAATCCAATTTACACCGTTTCTATTGCACTCAGCACGCATGAGCTAAGGTTTTTGTATCTTCCTCCACAAACTGAAAATACATTGAATATTCTTCCACAAGCAGAATTGAGCATTGATTTTGTCATGTTGAAGTGAAACTATAAAATAATTTATGAAACAAATGTTGACATACAACTATCGAAAATAATTATGGGTTTTCGTTAGAAACTAGATGCATTTAGGAAGTTTAACTGAAAATTTCAATAATTCACTATAAAAACACAAATGAATCGATAGCTATGAAACAAAGCTTCAATCGTCATCTATGATAATAATTAACAACAAAGATATAAAACAAAAAAATGCAGCATTAAGTGATATCTCGAAAATTTAATGATAAATCTTCGAAACTTCTCAATTCTGGCAAAAAATTAGCAAAAGATTTAAGAGCAATACTGGAAAAAATGGCATTTGAAGTACTTTTAAACTTGACAGAACATGGATTTATGGATGGACAAATTATAGTGAGTTATTGCTATCGAAATGGAATAGGAATACAAAAAGATGAAGCAAAAGCATTCGTGTGGTGGTTGAAAATTGAGATGCGGCAGGACAATTTAATCTCGGTTATTGCTTTGAAAGGGTTTGGAACACAAAAAGATGAAGAATTTGGGTGGTATTTGAAATCAGCGGAAAATGGCGATGCGCAAGGGTTATGAAAATGCTATTGGAACACAAAAAGCTGAAGATAAAGCATTTGAATGGTATTTAAAATCAGCAGAAAATGCACAAGCACAAGGACAATATGAGGTAGGAAACTTTAGTTGGATAGAATGGATGCTATGGGAAGCGTTATAAAAGGAAAAAAATCAACAGAAATAAATATTTGTTTCACTAACATTATACTATTCGATGGGCTAAAGACGACAAAAAGCGCTTGCTTGATTGTATTTGAAACTAGCTGAAAATAAAAATTTTATATTGACTCTTAATTTAATATATGATAGAGGATAAGATATAAATGAGCCTTCATGTTTTTCAAATATTAGCGGAATCTGGCAAAATTCCAGCTTACAATCATCTTGTAAAATGCTACTTTATGGAACCAGAACAATCGAAGAAATACAAGGCATTTGAAATGTACTTGAATCTGCCGAATTGGGGGATAAACATGGTCAGTTTGAGTTGGCTGAATGTTATCAATACGGATTCGGAATTGAAAAAGATTCTGCCATGGCTTTGTTATTTTTACTCCTTTTATTGTTAGCGTTAGTACATGTAACACTATCGCTATGTAAATCTAAATTTGATATCGATATATCGATATCGATATTAGGGAAATTTCTACACATTTAATTTTTTCATTTCACGTGTATAGCAATTATCGCCAATTTAATTTAATTTATTAATTTATTAATTTATGAATTTGTTATCCATGTACAAACATACGCATTACAAAGCTCCTACGTATTTATTATACCTAATTAGTAGTTCGTATTTGATGCATATTGTCCAATGTTACCACCACTTCCACCAACACCTACACCAGTTCCACCTACACCAACACTACCAAGAACAAGACCACCACCATTGGAGATGCCAGTTCCACCGATACCAACACCGTTACCACCATTAGCACTCGCATATTGATTATTGGATTGATAAGTGTTTTCGTTAGGCCAACCCCAATATGGCCAATATGGATAAGGCATGGGCATTGCGTCAGATGAAGCAATGAGGCAGATTGCTAAGAACAGAGCGAGACCAACAGCTTTGTTAAAGGTATTCATGATTATTTTTTTTATTCGAGTTTCTTCTTTGGTGATTTTCGAATTGTTGTTATTTCGAAAGGTGAAGAATGAAAATTTGGAGAGCGAACGTTTCTTTTTATAAGAAAAGTTTATGCTAAGTACAATAGAAATGGTGTAAATTGTATTGTTGCTATCGCCATTGCACACAGCCCCATACAATATAAGTCTCGATATGATTGGTGTACATAAATAGATTCACATAACAATAATAGAGAAGCGATGAGAGACGACAATGAAAATACTAAGAATGGCATTCAAAGACACTTCGACCCCCGCAGAAATCCATTTTCTTGTAGTTCCAAAGTAACGCGTCAAATATATTAATTACTTGGCAAAAAATGAATGTGTCATTATGAATATAAAGATTCATTCAAATATTCATGAAAGAAGATTTGATGTGCATAAATAGTAAAAAGAATGGAGGAAATTCTTTGAATTGCATAAATAGTAAGAAAAGAATGGAGGAAATTCTTTGAAATTGCGACACCTTTGATCACTGAGTACGTACATGTATGTACGTATTAAGCAAGTTATGTACATGTATACATGTATACACATATGCACGTGCTCACCAAACTTGGTAACAAATCGAAAAATTGGAAAATAATTTATATTTTCTTCCCATGTTTTGTTTTCATCGTTTCTTGTTCCACGCTTTTTTAATTACTCATCAATTTGTTAGAATAGACATTATAATGATACGGATGGCTTTTTCCTCTTGGTTGGATAATTTGGCCACTGCTTTGATTAGTTTTTCGCGCTCGATGATTTCTTGTCGTTCTTTTGAGAAAGGAATAAATTTTACTCTTTTCACTCAATAATACATGTAACCATAAATCATCGTGTTATGGTAAAACGTACCGGTATGACAATACGCCTTTGTATTCTGTATTGAGTATTACGTCGGTATTGTGTAAAGGAGTATCGTAGGAATCATAAAAGACATTACGTAGAGGTTAACAAAATTAGAAAAGCGTATTTGAGTCGGTTATACTAATTTGTATACTATTAGCTGTAGTACATGTACTATATATAAGTTATATTTAGTTTTACCGAACCAATTCAAATTTCCTAATTTGTAAGGTATTGGGTGAGGAAATAAGATTATATGTAAAAATGCCTTCCCTACATTTTATTAATAGTTTGACGAGTCTGATTTATCTTGAGAGTATTATCAAAAATTGTACTACGTTACTCTTCTTGTATACCTGTATAATACAACAAATTACATGTACAATGTATCGGTATACGTACCCATATATGCAATGTTTTGTATGTACATGTACGTTAGTATTTCACATTATATTTATAGAAAGAGTTTTATACATGTACGTATTCAGTTTTGGTTTGTATTTTCTTTTAGTCTTGAAATATATTTAATTTACACTAATACGTAATAATTCACTGTAACTTATTTCTTGTTTCGGTATAAACCTACGTAATAATACAATTGTTTCTCGATCTCAAGTTCGTTCCCTCACGTAAAATAGATAATATTTTAAAAGAAACAGTCAAGTGGCTAGTTCGAATTGTTTCCGTATTTTATTTATATCATGAAAAATCTTATTAAATGAAGGGTAAACAATGAATATGAAGTTCTTCGTGATTGCTATTTATTATGTAAAATAAAAATTTTCGTAAGGAACGCCAACAAATTGCATACGGATGCTGTATGCTGTATACTGTTGGCCGTTCGTTGCAAAGAATCGCACTGTGAAAAGCTAACACGTTTACTTAATGGTTTCTAGTTCTATTCAAAGTTTACCAAATAATAAACCTTGATTACTTTATAATAGAATGCATTTAGCTACGCAATACACTAGAAATAACATTTCCTGAAATATTAAACATTTACCGTGAAACGAAATCAGAATATTTTTATACGCAGCAAATTTACCCATCCTTATAAACAAACGGCAAGCACGTAGCATCCACGAAAACTGCAAGGGATAGTACGAAATGGCGCGGCATGGTACGTACAAGCACGAAAAACGTGACAAATTCCGTATACATAAACACGTTTCGGAATGGTTTTTTAGGAAATGGCACGAATTTGACAGTCCGTGCTTATACGTACGTGCTAGGAAAACCCCCTGGATGTTAGCATTAGAGGTTTCGAGGTTTAATAAGGTACTTGATCATATCAATATTAACAGAAAACAAAAGATCTTGAGCGCAACGAATATTATGTTATGATGTATGTCTTTCGATATATTATTTTGTGAGCCCAAGCTTTTGCTGCATTTTCTAAAAACAATTGGACAACTGCTTTCTTGAATTAATTTAGACAATTCCAGCCAAAGCATCATTGAATTTTTTAACAGAACAGTTAATGTAAACCTATCAATTTAATTCTATAACAAGAAGCTATTCTCAAAAGAGACTATAAATTCTTTTATGCCATCAATTCTTTCTAAGCAGACATCTACTGAAAAGTTGCAAATGGAAAAAATTTTGATTGGAAAAATGGATTTAGATACTCGTCAGTTGCCACATGAATTACCACCTCGGAATCATGATGGTACGTTCGGACATGATACGTCAGTGACAAGAGTGGCAATCGCTTTCGATAATTTAGCTTGCTGCTGTTATTGTTCACACAATGCCAAAAAAAATATTATTTGTATGTCTTCTACTGATATATACATGATTAATAATTAATAAACGAAAATTCAATACTTTATTAAGAGTTAATGCTAATTTTGTTGTTTTTTTTGTGGAAATTATGTATGTCACATTTTATTATTAAAAATATGATTTGATGACGAGACATTATTTTGAAAGTGATTGGTTGTACTTGGATTAAACATGATAGCTTCTGCAATGGCGATCTCAGCAAATGCTTTAAGTGGATCGTCAGGAAGGCTTAGCTGAACATGAGGCGGATTGTAAACAAGAGGCTTTTCAATGCGCGGCCAAACAATCTCAATTGATACTCGGCGACTTCTTGAGCGTGGCAGAATAGTTGATAAACAGTCAGACGATGAACTACGTTGTTTGGGTTCGACACGGCGAAATGCTGTTCTTGGCGAAGGAATTATCGAAGAATAGGTCGGCATACATGGATTAGATAGTGGCTGAGATGGTGATAATGGGTAGTCGTATTGTTGTTGATATTGATATTGATATTGATATTGATGTTGATATTGATGCTGATACCGATACTGTCCAAAATTTGTGTTTATTTGTTGTTGTTGATATTGTTGTTGATACTGTTGTAGTAATTCGTTCGAGGTCATTTTAAGCCAGACTTGAGGCATTGAAGCAGCTTGTTCCCATGGCTGTAGTTCTCTATCGAATTTTGTATCTGATTTAAGAGTTTTTTTCTTTAAGTTTGGTTTAAATTGGTAATCAGGGAAAACATCGCTATGTATAAGATTTCCGATAGCCGCAAGAAACGTGAAAAAATTTCGTCGTTCTTGAGTTTCCGCTTCCCATTTTTCAGAAGCAATCTTAGAAATATCGGTAAATTTTGTCTCGGGAAAAAAATGCAACGTTTCCGCCTGCACTTCTTTTCGGTATATCACATAATCGTTTTGCGGGCGTTGTGTCGTGGATTTTGTGCGAGTTTTTTTGCAAGGAGCTAATAGCTCTTCAAGCGACAAGAAAAGAGATGGCACTTGAATACCTTTACGGATTATTTCAGATTCTATTCGTCTCGCGGTACACTGTTGCCACGTCTTTTCCCATTTTTTCTGCTTTTTGCGTAGGGTTGCGGTTGCTTGTTGACGTTCGGTTTTCACTTTTGACATGATTATTTGACGATGAAAAAATCTATCGAGTCGTATTTATATACTGCGTGCAGATTATTAATTTTACGTGTGTGTTTGTGTTTATCGTTATTTGTTTATCGTGGATGTGGATTAAGCATTTTATAATTAAAAAAAATATGACATAACACAATCAACAATCAACACGCACGCAAATAAGGAGATTATTTAGTTTTAATAAAGGTTGCTTTTGCATCAGATGATAGTCCGCCATTTCCGCGTTTAGGTAGAGTGGAATGAAAGCCCCACTCTGTTTTCCGTGTTGTGTTTCTGGGTATGTCCAAAATGAGATTGAATGGAAAATAAACTTAACGTTAACGTTAACGCCAATACAACGGAACGGAAGGTTACACATCATATTTAAAAACCATCGTTTATCGACAGGACGGAAATGAATCGATAAAGGAAGTGACCGAGATCACGAGAACTTGAAAGATTGGTTGAAAGCTTTTTTTTTGAAATTACTCATTGATGTGTTTTGCTGCTTGGTCGTGTTTGAGTGAATGTGTGTGTATTTTTCTCAAAGGTCGTTAAACACAGCATAATGTTCAAGCCTGAACTTTGCCACATATAGAAACGTTTCATGCAGAATATCACTTCGTAATATGGAACATGTGTATTTGGTTGATCTGTATTATTATCATTCATTCAGGATTAACATGAAACGCCGAATCCACACACATAACAATTAAACTTTGCCACAACTTTTTCTTATGAATGTTCGTGATTTTTTAAGACGAGAGTGTCGTTGAGTTGAGAACAGCGGAAGCAAAAGTGTGTGCATTGACCGAGTTATTTCTTCAACCCACGCTGGTGCGACAAAATATATATACTACATACGTACATATGCACCTTGCTTTTTTTTCGACATTGTCGCAAGTGTGCATTGTGCAATACGTACACATGCCTTTTACTTGCGCATAGTTGTACATTCGGGATCTTTTTGATTAGCCAATGAAGGCTAACGCATTCACTTCTGTTATCAAAAATGAATAACTCGATCTTAAAATTTCGTAGTTGCGAGACGTCGAATGGAATGTAATATGATTTTGAGATTTCTTTCTATTTTTAAAGATCATCTCGATGGTAAACAAGTATATAACCCCCGAAATGTATGCCAGTGTAGTCAAGCAATCTGGCACGGACGTAGTTAGTTATTCTTGTTTAGCAGTGAGAATCGAAACAAGGATAGGTAGTTGGCATATTTGCTCTTTTGTTGGGAATACACTTGTTTAATTATTGATTGGAAGTTATTCATTTGAAAAATATTGACCATAATTTATCTTCTACATTCAATAATGGCTAAGCGTTTTGAAATACTGGAAATTTGAAAACAGTTAGCTTTCTGTCTAGCTATATTTTAGCCTTTACTCTTCCGAGCGATTAGAAATTCAATTATCATAAAAATTCCAGGGAATGCAATTTTAATCATGAACCCATTGAAGTCCAAAATTTATCAGGAGCATTTTAACTTAATTTTGATTCGGACCTTTTACATTTTTTTAGCACTATCACTACGGTTGGACTACTTAATCACATAATGTTATTTCGAGTCAAAATTGACTATGTATCGTCAAGAGAATCTCAAAGTTCCTTTCTCAGCATACGTACACATTCTTATCGAATTATCTCATTTGATTCGTGTGACATATTTTACAGTTTAGATCGATTACTTTTAAAGCCGGAAATTAACCTGTTGAATCAATCAATAGACTCGTAAAGTTAGAAGTAATTCCAAACGTCTCAATTTCTCGTTCGATTTTAACCAATATTTGAATAATTACGCTACTTCAAGTAAAGAAACTTATAATTGACCAATTTGCTAAAAAAAAACTCGTTAGGTAAATACCTAGTAAATCTCTCTGACAGTTGTATTAAGAACAAATCCGCTATGCATGTAAATCGAAAACTTCTCTTAGTCGAAGTTATAGTCTAATACCGAGCTAATCGACTTAAAAAGTTTTACTAAGTAGACAAAAGAAACATCAATAATTTATTATTTTTAAATAGTTTTAAGGAAACTAAAAATAATGGTTAGAATTAAGAAAGAACAGTACAAATTGCCGTTACTTTTAAGCGATTTCGTGCATTTACATGCCTTATTGAAAATCTCCTAGTCTCTAAAGGGTTACGATACGACATCCCGACAACCAAAATCATAACCCGATAAACGAAATCCCAATACCAATATCCCGTTAGTCTTGTATAATTTTTCAATGGCGAGATATTCGAACCTTGCCATTTTTTTCGTGTTCAGTTCCTGTATAACACCTTTTTATAATGCTATAGACTGTCGGGATATTGGGATTTCGGGATTTCGTTTGTCGGGTTATGATGTCGGGATTGTGGCTGTCGGGATGTTGGGCGGTGTCCCTCTAAGAATAAATAACAATATAAAAATAAAATATAATACAATGGCAATCAAAAGTAATGTAACGACGTCAAAATTTATTAATTAAACATAGTAAAATGTGAGTTTTTTTCTCTTTATATAAAAGTTTTCAATTTTACTAATGAATATTTTTTATTTTTACATTAAAATGAAGACAATATTA